TGTTGGTGGGAGTGTAAATTAGTTCAACCATTGTGGAAGACAGTGTGGCGATTCCCCAAGGACCTAGAAATAGAAATTCCATTTGACCCAGCAATCCCATTACTGGGTATATACCCAAAGGATTATAAATTGTTCTATTATAAAGACACATGCACATGTATGTTCACTGTGGCACTATTTACAATAGCAAAGACTTGTAACCAACCCAAATGTCCATCAAGGATAGACTGGATAGGGAAAATGTGGCACACATACACCATGGAATACTCTGCATCCATAAAAAACGATGAGTTCGTGTCCTTCATAGGGACATGGATGAATCTGGAAACCATCATTCTCAGCAGACTGTCACAAGAACAGAAAACCAACCACTGCATGTTCTCACTCCTAGGCGGGTGTTGAAGAATGAGAACAAGTGGACACAGGGAGGGGAGCATCACACATTGCAGTCAGTTGGTGGGGGCTGGGGGAGGGACAGCGAGGGGTAGGGAGGGTGGGGAGGGATAACATGGGGAAAAATACCAGTTATAGGTGATGGGGGGATGAAGGCAGCAAACTACCTTGCCATGTATGTACCTATGCAACAATCCTGCATGATCTGCACATGTACCCCAGAACCTAAAGTACAATAAAAAGAAATACCCTTACCTGTAGCAAAAAGGAAACAGCATAACTCAAGAAAGAAGGATGATGGACTACATTTAAACTCTTTTTATATTCAGCCACTCCAGTATTTTCTAGGATTTCAGTGTCAATATATATTCCTTTCTCAAAGGGTTTGGAGGTCCACAGGCAACCAACCATGGATGTCAAATAGTGATTAAATTCTTCATAAGTCTTGCTGCTGAAATTGAACTCGGATTTTGTCTAATGGGAGAGAAATAAAAAATTGTCACTATCACATGTTATCCCTTTCTTTCTTATCCCCATCAGGTCATGTATATCTAGACTTAATTTTTAAACAACAGTGATTTAACAGAGTTTTCTCATTCATACCTTTTGGACCAACTCATTTTTCTTTGCGGCAGTCAAATTTTTATGATACCTAACAGAAAAAACAAACAGAATGAAACATGTAATATGCCTTTGAATATAATGCCTCTGAAGTGGTAAAAATAAACAAAAACATATATTTTAAATGTAAATATCTGCAAATGTGCATATACACAAATATCCCGTTGTGTAGTTACGTATTTTATCCTTTTGTGATACATTCTCCTCAAGTGAAAATTAATAGAGGCTCAATAAGTGGTTCACTTAAGATGTGCACTTGACTAAGTAAAAAACGATGAAAAATGCTTTCAACGTTTCACTATTAAAAATTTAATAGAGTTCTCACTCATAAATGGGAGTTAAACAATGAGAACACACGGACACAGGGAGGAGAACATCACACACTGGGGCCTGTCAGGGGGTGAAGGGCAAGGGGAGAGAGCACATTAGGACAAATACTTAATGCATACAGGACTTAAAACCTAGATGATGGGTTGATGGGTGCAGCAAACCACCATGGCACATGTATACCTACATAACAAACCTGCATGTTCTGCACATGTATCTCAGAACTTAAAGTAAAATAAAAATTAAAAAAAAAGAGGCTCAAAAGCAGTCAGTCACTGATATAGAACATATTTTCCTAATGTTAAAAAAAAAAAAAAAGGTACAGCAGAAAGGATAAAGGGGAAATTTAGAAATATGTTCTTCTTTTCAGAGAACTATTAACAACTAACAAGTTTTTAAACATTTCAACCTTGACATAGTCTACGAGTTATGCCAACAAGGTGTATACTTAGCTGGGCATGGTGGCTCACACCTGTAATCCCAGCACTTTAGGAGGCCAAAACAGGTGGATCACCTGAGGTCAGGAGTTAAAGACCAGCCTGGCCAATGTGGTAAAACCCCGTATCTACAAAAAAGTTCAAAAAATTAGCCAGGCGTGGTGGCAAGTGCCTATAATCCCAGCTACTGAGGAGACTGAGGCACAAGAATCACTTGAATCGCCTCCCAGGAGGCAGAGGTTACACTGAGCCGAGATCATGCCATTGCACTCCAGAGTAACAAGAGCAAACCCCATCTCAAAAAAAAAAAAAAAAGTGTACACTTATGGACTGAAAAGAGTAATTTCAGTCCATACGTGAAATAATTAGAGGAGACTAGAAATAACACAGTTTCACATAATTGGCAATAGCTCCCCTTATCTCCCAGAAAATGATTTTACTAGAGAAGCCACAAACACTTAAAGCAATTGTCATCAAACGACTAATTTTTCCTGAAGACACAGCAACTAGAATGAACAATGCTGAGTGCAACAGTATCACTGCACAACAGGTCCTCAACTATGACGTTTTTTTATTCTGTAACCACAGCAGTGGATTTAAAAACAACACAGCTATCATAGCCCCATATCGGAAGGTCATGTCCAAAAGCAAGCCACGTTTCTGATTTCCAGAGGCCCTGGCAGAAAATGAGTAGGGATATTTATTGTATTATAGCTGAAAAATGAAGAGAGAATTATAATATACTATTTCATAAAATGGTAAAAAGTTTTTGTACCTATGCATAATAAAACACAGCTGATTCAGGATGCTGGCATCCAGGCTGAGAAGTGCAGAATAGAAGATCCCAGGAGGAAACAACACCACTAATGGAAGGTTATAATTTATATATATGTCACATACCTTTGAGAAAGAATGATAACATCAGTATATAGAGTATTCCCCAGAACTCTTCAACCAAGTTCACCCAACAGAATCATCAGTATAAGATAAGCAATAATATAACATTAGCTCTGGACATGTCTGACTCCTAAACAGGTAACTACAAGCTTGCTTAAAATATACTTCACCAAATATCAACCATACTATAGAGGATTATTTCTATAAGGCCATTACTTAAATCTTTCATTTTTTCTGGGGAAAGGTCTTAAAGTTAGGGGAACAGGATAGAGGAAGGAAGTATTTCTTTCTCCTTAAGTCCCATAATACTTACTTTTGCCATTGAAAACAATAGCAAAAACCGCAATTACTTTTGCACCAATCTATAGTTCTGTCCAGATCATATACTGTAAAACAATAAAAGGGTACTAGGTACCAAGAAAAGTAAGGCAGTTGAAAGGTAGAAATGGACATCTGTAGAAACAAGGTATTTTTGGTTTCTGCCAGGGGTTGGGAATGAGATGAAAAAAAATAATGCTAACAATAGACTTCTGTCTAGGGCCAGTATTAACACAGGTCAATGTAGTGGTACCTGGACCTAAAAAACAGCCAGCATTTAGTCCAGTCTAGTGCCTTTCGTGATTAAAAACAAAAATAGAAAAAAAAAAAACAAAAAAAAAAGCATTTAGGCCGAGCGTGGTAGCTCATGCCTGTAATCCCAGCACTTTGGGAGGCTGAGTCAGGTGAATCACGAGGTCAGGAGTTCAAGACCAGCCTGGCCAACATGGTGAAACCCTGTCTCTACTAAAAATACAAAAATTAGCTGCGCATGGTGGCGGGTACCTACAATCCCAGCTACTTGGGAGGCTGAGGCAGGGAGCTGAACCTGGGAGGTAGGGGTTACAGTGAGCTGAGATCATGCCACTCCACTCCGGCCTTGGCAACACAGCGAGACTCTGTCTCGAGGAAAAAAAAAAAGCATTTGTTTTTCCACTTTGTTTATGAAAGTCAGCTATTCTGCCGAGAAAATAATCATGAACTTCAAAATGTGAGGTTATTTTAATGATGCTAATAAGATCACAGCCCACCTTAATGGTTTCACATAAAATTTAAATAGTAAGTCAATAAAGTGGACAGCCTTCACAAAAATCCAAATGGAGAAAATGTAATGTGTACTACCTTCTCATAGAAATCCAAAATAAAGTGCAGCAAGAAAGTACTGTTGCTCTCCAAGCGCATTGCAGTAGTGGACAGGCACCCTACATAGTGGATCAGTTTAGACACAGAGTTCATGGATCCACCCAAAGTTGTCTCTCTGCAATAAGAAACCGATAACATTCAGATATAGAGTAGCAAAAGTGCTCACAATTCCAATGCTAAAGCTGAATAATATAAAGCAAAAAGTTGGTGAATATTTTAAACACTTTCAGTGCTCCAATGTATAATTCACTTTTTAGAAAAATCACAGTGATTAATCATAAAACTACACTTAGCCCTCCAGAGAACCATTAAGATGAATTCATAGAACATTCTAAGCAACCAGACTCTACTAGTAAATAACAGAGAAATAAGGTAATATGCTCCAAGTAGATATGAAAATTCTCAAGTGAGAGATAAAAAAACCACTAGAAAAACAGGTATTCCATTAATAGTTAAGGGGGGAAAAAAGTTCACATAAAAGTGACATGAAAAATTCAGGGCAGGACACAGTGGCTCACACCTGTAATTCCAGCACTTAGGGAGGCCAAAGTGGGCAGATCTCTTGAATCCAGAAGTTTGAGACCAGCCTGGGCAACATGGCAAAAGCCCATCTTTACAAAAAATACAAAAATTAGCTGGGGTGGTGGCACACGTCTGTAGTTCCAGCTACTTAAGAGGCTGAGGTGGGAGGATCGCTTGAGCCCAGGAGGCAAACGCTGGTGAGTGAGACTGCACCACTGCACTTTAGCCTGAGCAACAGAGTAAGATTCTGTTTCAAAAAAAAAAAAAAATCAGTCCAGATGCAGTGGCTCACACCTGTAATCCCACCACTTTGGGAGGCCAAGGCAGGCAGATCGCTTGAGGTCAGGAGTTTGAGACCAGCCTAGCCAACATCGTGAAACCCTGTTTCTACTAAAAATACAAAAATTAGCCAGGCATGGTGGTGGGCACCTATAATCCCAGCTACTCAGGAGGCTGAGGCAGGAGAATCACTTCAGGAGGTGGAGGCTGCAGTGAGCCAAGATCATGCCACTGCACTACAGCCTGGACAACAGAGCAAGACCCTGTCTAAAAAAAATTCAGCATAAAATGTGAAAATGGACAAAATTATACAGTAAACTAGAAAAAATGAGAACTGATTTATCCCAACCAAGTCAAAAGTGGTTTAAAGGAATAAACATTAAAACGACTTTAGGAATCATTTCCTATGCTGTCAGTAACATTGCAATACAGATTGAAGGAAACCTACAGTACACAAATCAAAACTCAGTTTTGCCTGAATCCCTTAGTTAAAATGCTGTTAAACATATTTTCACTTGAATTTGGCTGGGTGCAGTGGCTCATGCCTGTAATCCCAGCACTTTGGGAGGTTGAGGAAGGCAGATCCCCTGAGGTCAGGAGTTTAAGACCAGCCTGGCCAATATGGTGAAACCCCATTTCTAAAAATACAAAAATTAGCCAGGCATGGTAGTACACACTTGTAATCCCAGCAACTAGGTAGGCTGAGGCAGGAGAATCCCTTGAGCCCGGGAGGTGGAAGTTGCAGTGAGCCAAGATTGTACCACCGTACTCCAGCCTCACCTGGGCGAAAGAGACTTTGTCTCAAAAAAAAAAAAAAAAAAAAAAAAACAAAAAAAAAAAAAAAAAACCCAATCTAAAAAAAAAAAAAAAAAGTGTACACTTATGGACTGA